AAAAAAACTCTTTTAATATATAGACATATATTAAAAAAAAAAAAACTTGACAAGTGAAGTTATTTTGTATATTAAAATTGATATGTGACATTGTGACTCAATTATTTCCTTCGCACATTAACATTAACGCTTTAGTTTTTTTTTTTTATAAAAAATATAATTGTATTAATAGTTAAAAAATAAGTATAGTTTAGACTATATTTTACTATATAAGCTGAACAGAAAAAAAGAAAACGCTTTGGTTATTTTTCATTCATAATATAGTATTAATTTAATTTATCACTGATAAATTATGTGAAGTTTTAAGTCCTCACGACTTATTTAACACTTTTACTTTGCAAATAAAAATCTTGAAACAAAAAGGGAAGAGAATACACCAAACATCACTTTTTGGGTCATAAATTGTACTAAATCCCATAAAGAAAATTCTTCAACATGCAGATGGCGGCCCCATTTGCATGGCAAGAGACCGACCAGGGACAGGGAGGTTTATGTGTAGTTGTGTCAATACAAAGACAGGGTCCCAAACTCCAATCCCACTGCTTTAAAAATTTGGCTTCTTCTCCTCAAAGCAAGCCTTTTCTTTTCTCATCTTTTTGGAAATGGTTTCTTCCCCATCAAGATTAATTTTCACTGTACATTATGCTTTTTTCCCTGTCAAAATTATACCACAAAACCAGCAAAGGCGGCTTTCAAGTTTCTTATTCTCTTCTTATTATAATAAGTGAATCATTAATTCCACTTCATGACACCATCACTCAATTCCGTATATCATATTCTGTATAACTAATCATACGAAGATAGATCAGTATAAAATTAGATTAAACTTGCATATAGTTATAGGTTTCTATAGGTTTCAAACACAAAAGCTCAAATTTTTTTGTCACTTCAATAGTTCAATCCAAACTAAATCGATTTTAAACTCTCACTTTACAAATAATATAAGTTTACTAGTGGATAAAAAATTGTCTCATTTAATAAATACAATTATTATGTTTGACAAATTAATCGAGTATTTGTTTTATAGTGTTTATTTTTTAATTTATTTGTAAGTATTTTTTTCTTTTATAAATTAAAAAATTTATTGAAGAGAAATGTTACTTCAATTTGTTTGTCAATAAAGGCAAATGCCCCCCAAAAAGTTAAATTGATATTAGACGGGCGGATGATGAAAATCATGTTAATAAATATCCAAAGAATGCTAATATGGATTTAAGTGGCGATCTGTTGTTATGATGTTGTAGGTTTAATAAATTTTTTTTTCATCTAAAAAATGATGGCAATTTGTAACATTTGTTGGCTAGCCTAATCGAAAACAACCAGTTTTTGTGTGAAGCAAAAAACAAGAACAATCCTTCCGTGCCACCAACACAACTTAAGTGTTTTTAATTAAACCTAGTAAAATTGGACCTAATTCAAAGATTTAATCCAATTTATCTGTTATGAGTAGAATTATAAGCTTGAATTATTAATCTGAAATCTAATATGAGGTAGTCTGAAATTAGACAAATATAATTGGATTGGGCTAAGATCGGGTCGAGCCAATCCGAAATGATTTGACTAAAATTAATTAATTTTTTTTAAAATTTAAAATTTTTAATTAATTATATTTTTAATTTTAATTTTTAAATATAAAATAAAATTAAATATTATAAAATTATTATTATTTAATAGATTATTAGAGTTTAAATCAATTTAATAGATTTGTTATATTAAATAATTAATATATTATTTTTTTAATAAAAAGTATATGAAATATTGAAAATTTTTAATCTTAATTTTAATTTTTTTTAAAGTTGAATCCGTTCGACTTAATTCAAAAGCTATATAGGTGAGTTATAAATTTACTTATTTAACTCAAAATCTAAAATAACCCAATGTGATATATAAACTTAGAATTCATAGTGATTTAATTCAAACGCATCTGATCCCACGTGTTTATTAGGTTTATTTTTAATAATGAGGTGTTTTTCAAGTTGTGTTATATGCTTATGTGATATGATGAATAAAAAAATAAGATATGTTTATTTCTTGTTTTTCAACACAACTTAAAAAAAAAAAAGGTATTTCTTCCCACATAATTGATGTTGATTAATTAATAATTAGATTTGATATTACCTAATTACGTAGAGCCATCGTCTCCACTTCATCCATTTCGACATCGTTGCAGGATGAGTATTACCATTTCTCGTAGGCAGAAATATTACTAATTGTTTGTTTGTATAGAATGTTTGGTCACTTACATGTTCTTCCGTAATTGTTTGCTTCAAAAATATAAAAAATTCTTAAGGAAATTAAAAATCTAAAACCTTTGCTATTTTTTATTAAACAGGGCTACTGAAGAGGTTTGATCATCCTCCACTCCATCCTCAAATTAAGGTTTAAAGTGATTATGGATTTTGTCACTTTTTGTTACTATCTAGATTGCCTTGACTAAGAAGTTTAATCATCAAGAAACAATGGCGATTATTGTATAGAAACACCAATTAATACTAATCTAGCCCAAGCTAGATGAAGAATATATATATAT